AGAATTTCATTTCCTAAATTCTAGGAATGGAATCAAATTATGTTAAGTCAGCTGGATGAATTAGTTAGGATATTGTTTGGCTTAAATTCTAAAACATTCTTGATCGATTGCTGTGCATATATATTGCTGAATTTGTATGATTAAAGATTAAGAAAGTTAACTTCAATCAATCATATTCTTCAATTTGGTATCAGAGCCATCCATGGCCAATACCGGATCGGAAATCAATCCAATCCTTCTGAGTTCAATACAGCACCAGCTATACAATCTTCAGCTAGCCAGAACTCAGCATATGGAACTCACATCACTCAAACACTCTCAGTTAAACTCGACCACAACAACTCCCTGTTATGGAAGAACATGGTGATGCCAGCGATCAAAGGGCATAATCTGGAAGGGTAGTTATTGAGGACAAATGAGTGTCCACCAGAGTTCCTAGCTACTCAAACGATTGTCGAACAGGGCGAAGCTGTTGAAATGATACAAAATCCAGAGTTTCTGAAATGGAGCTCAACTGATCAGCTCCTTATGGGTTGGATGTACTCGTCCATGACTCCGGAAATTGCTATGATTGTCATGGGTTGTACTAACTCAAACAGACTCTGGATAGCTGTAAAGGAAAGCTTTGGGATATTAAATAAATCTCGGGTGACGTTCCTGTGAATTACAAAGAATCAAGAAAGGATTCATGACAATGTACCAATATCTGACCACCATTAAGCAGTTGGCAGATAATCTTGAAATAGCTAGGGAAACCATTGATCATAGTGACTTAGTTATGCAGGTTCTATCAAGTTTGGATGAGGAGTATACACCAATAGTGGTTCAGATAAATAGTAGGGAGAGTATTTCCTGGTATGAACTATCGTCAATCCTAATGACTTTTGAAAGTCGAATAGAACATCCGAATCAAGTAAGGAGCAGCTTTACTTCCCTCAATGTTAACCAATCTAGCGTGCAACTAGCACACAAAACCGGTTCAAACTTTGGCAGAGGTCTTAGAGGAACTATCAATGGTAAATCTCCAAGTTATAGAGGCAAAACAAGGGGAAGAGGCAGATTTGCAAGTGGCAGGTAGAATGAAGTTAAATGATCATGTTAAATCTGTAGATTGAGCAATCATTCTGCAAGTTGGTGCTACAACAGGTTTGATGAGCGCTATATGGGTAGCAAACTACCTAATTCTGGATAGCAAAGCATAAATTCAGGGCCATTTGCCTATGTGGCATCACCTAGAGGTCTTGAGGATCCAGCATGGTTCGTGGATTCTAGAGCTAGCAACCTTGTCACATCTGATAAAGGTAATATGAGTGCTGGAAACAGGTATTTAGGTAAGGAGAAATTACTTGTTGGTAATGGTGATATGTTACACATTGCTCACATTGGAAATGGTAAAATTCATACACTAAATGATAAGGAAATCAACGACTGCTGCACGTTCCTGAAATAAAAAGGAACCTGATTAGTGTTTCTCAATGTACCAATGACAACACAGTATTCATGTAATTTTATTCTAATTGTTGTGCTGTCAAGGACCTCAAAACGTAGAAGATCTTGTTGCAAAGGGAACTTAAGGATGGATTGTACCAGCTGCAGCTACCATACTTCAAACCAAACATCAACTCTTTCCAGCCAAATCTCCAAAATAACTTCCAATGTTTTTCCAGCAAGTCGTCTAGTGATCAGTTGTCTTCTGTCACTAAAATTTCAGTGTCTGAACTTGACCTTTGGCATAGAAGGCTAGGTCATCCTTCAATTCAAGTTATAATTCAAGTCTTTAAGTCATGTAATAAAGCTATTAAGGCCAATGAAATTCCAAGTTTCCGTGAATCATGTAAATTCGGCAAATCACATGCATTACCCTTTAACATCTCAACTTCTCATGTTGCAAATCCATTGGATCTTATCCACACTGATGTTTGGGGACCAACCCCTATAAATTCAACAAATGGATTTAGGTATTATATAATCTTTGTTGATGATCATGGCCGTTATACTTGGATTTACCCAATGAAACAAAAATCAGAAGCCTTAACCATCTTCACTCAGTTTAAAAACCTCATAGAAAACAAGTTAGAGAAGTAGATTAAAGCTATGCAATCAGACTGGGATGGTGAATTCAGAAATTTTAGCAAACTAGCCTCAGATTCTAGTATAGAACTTAGGTACTCTTGCCCCTATACTTCAAGCCAAAATGGCAGGGCTGAACGCAAGCACAGGCACATCACTGAGACTGGGTTAACCCTCTTAGTTCAAGCTCAAATGCCACTCTTTTATTGGTGGGAATCCTTCGAGACAGCCACCTATTTGATCAACAGGCTGCCTACCTCTGTATTGCATCACAAAACACCCTACCAGACTCTGTTTGACAAAACCTTTGACTATAATCAGCTTAAAACCTTTGGTAGTACCTGCTTTCCATGCCTCAAACCTTACTAGAAGCATAAATTCAGTTTCCATTCCCAAAAATGTGTTTATCTTGGCTGTGGTGATTCACACAAGGGTTATAAATGCCTAAGTCCTAGTAGTAGGATCTACATCTCCAGGTATGTTGTCTTTAATGAACAAGAGTTCCCATTCAAAATAGGTTTCTTGAACAAACAGTCTCAGTCACAAGTTTACAGTACATCAGACATTAACTATCTTCCCTTCTGTGACCTTAACCATGATACCACACCTATAAATGCAGTAGTAGCCCCTGCAATACAACCTGAAGTTTCCCCTACAATAGAGCTTGACAATAAAGGTATAAGTACTAGGGCTGAATGAGATGTGGTGACAGATTTTGATGGCAATGAGGAAAATCAGGAAACGATAGCACGAGATGAGGTTCCTGATTAACGGGAAATAAGAGGTGAAAATCAGAATGCATCAGAAGAACAGCACTTATCAGACAGTAGCATACCTCAAAATCTTGGACATCAAATGATTACAAGGAGTAAGGTTGGGATTTTTAAGCCTAAAGTCTATACTAGCCAGCAAATTGATGAACTAGCCATAGTTGAGCCTATCAGTGCTGATGAAGCTCTAACAAGCAAAAACTGGAAGAGTGCTATGCAGGATGAATATGATGCACTTATGAAGAATGAAACGTGGACCTTGGTTCCACATAAAGCAAGGATGAAGGTAATGGGAAATAAGTGGGTCTTCAAACTGAAATTTGACGCAAGTGGAAAGGTGTTAAGGCATAAAGCTAGACTAGTGGCAAAGGGGTTCCTTCAAACCCTTGGAGTCGACTTCAGTGAGACTTTCAGTCCAGTAATTAAGGCTGCAACTCTGAAGATCATCCTCACTTTGGCTGGGGCAAGAGACTGGCAGATCAGACAAATAGACATAAACAATGCATTCTTGAATGACACCTTGAATGAAGTTGTTTATATGAATCAGCCGCAAGGTTTTATTAGTGAAAAGCATCCAAGTTATGTGTGTAAACTCAAGCAGGCATTGTATGGATTAAGACAAGCATCTCGAGCCAGGAATGACAAACTGAAACATACTCTGCTGCAGTGGAATTTCAAGCAGTCCAGTCTGACAACTCCCTATTTTTCTTGGCAAGTGAAACTGATATTCTCTTTGCCCTGATATACGTGGACGATATAGTGATCATTGGTAACAATAGTTAGAAGTTGCAAGAGTTTATAGATAAGTTGAATGTCAGTTTTGCATTCAAGGATTTGGGGAATCTTTGACAATTCTTGGGAATAGAAGTCAGAAGAGATGATACTGGTTTATACCTCAGGCAAACCAGATATGCTATTAAGCTGCTAAAGAAACTTGGCTACGAACACCTCAAGCCTAGTCCAACTTCCATGGCAATAGGTAAACCAATCTCAAAAGATGAAGGACAAGCAATGAAGGACCCTACTCTATACAGGAGTGCTATAAGTGGTCTCCAATACCTTGTCCATAAAAGACCTGACATAACCTATGCAGTCAACAGACTTAACCAATATCTTTAGATACCAACTGATACCCATTGGAAGGCGCTCAAAAGAGTTTTTAGATACATAAAAGGCACTCTAACTTGTGGACTATCTATTCAAAGGAATGATAGTCTAGAAATCACTGCTTTTGCTGACTCTGATTGGGCCTCTAATCCAGATGATAGATGTTCTACAACAGGGTACTCTGTATATGTTGGAGACAATTTGGTGTGGTGTTCTAAGAAGCAACATGTGGTGGCCAGGTCTAGTACCGAAGCTGAATATAGAGCCCTGGCTCATTGTGCTTCTGAAGTGACATGGATTCAATCCTTACTGAAGGAGTTAGGAATATCACAGTAGCAGGTTCCAATCATCTGGTGTGACAACCTCAGTGCAAGTGCTCTTGCCTCTAATCCCGTATATCACGCTCGTACAAAGCACATTGAGTTGGATGCACACTTTGTGAGAGACAAGGTGCTTGACAACCAGCTAAAAATCCAATACATTCCATCTGCAGATCAGACGGCAACCTTGCTGACCAAACCTATGTCGCATTCGAGGTTCCAACTACTTAGAGACAAGGTTGGTGTGATAGAACACACTCCACCTTGAGGGGGGGAGTTAGAATCCACCATCTGCTACCTCACGAGCTCCAGCAGCAACCTCAGTGGAATTGCATTTCCTAAATTCTAGGAATGGAATCAAATTCTGTTAAGCCAGCTGGATGAATTAGCTAGGATATTGTTTGGCTTAAATTCTAGAACATTCTTGATCGATTGCTATGTATATATATTGCTGAACTTGTATGATTAAAGATTAAGAAAGTTAACTTCAATCAATCCTATTCTTCAATTATTTAAGATATTTCATTGGAATTATATGGAACAATGCTATTCATAGTCAGCGACCACAATATTCATCGTATGTAACAGCTTGTTATTTGATGTGTTAATTTCCTATAATTCTGTTGTTTCAGATAACTAGCTGCTGCATAAGAATAACTATCGCAATCGTGGACCAGGGATAGCATTACTCGAATTATATATCTGTCAAGCTACAGATCTTTTAGGAGTGGTTATGCCTGCTTCGGTTGCACCAAAAGATGATATGATTCCTAATTCTGATCTTGTAAATAGACCAAAATATAAATATGAAGTTCTCCAGCAGATGTCGACTTCATACAGTTGAAAAAATTTCAGGTTGAGTGAAAGGGTTGAAATTTGTCTGTGAAGGTTATAAAGTTCTGTGTTCTGATGTTCGGATTGAATTGGCTGTCTTTTGGCACTAAAGTTTGTTATGCAATTTTTTTTTTGAACTTTCAAGTTTGAAGTTTTTTGTGCTGGTAGTATTTTGCATGTTTTTCCATGATTTAAACGTCTTTACTTGGTTGAGTTTGTGATATTTGGTATGTTAGTTGATGGAGTTTCTGTGTGTTGAATTAGATTTTGGATTCATTACGGGGTCCTGCTCTCATTCATGATAGAAGTTTTGCTTAATCATTTGGAAAAAATACTAATAGTAACAAGAGGGGCTCGAGAAAATGACATTTTTCTTCCCCTTTCAAAATTTCTAGAAAATTCATTTATATTCTAATGGAGCCAGGGACTTCAATTTCGCTATTGATTTTCTGCAGTTCTGTCTCTCACTTCATTAATGAGAAGTACTTTTTTATTACATAACATTCTTGAAAATGATACTCTCGAGGGAGATGCTAATCATGTTCTTCAATTGTTATGATCTCAGGCACTAGGCACTATGTCCATATCTGCTGTTGTTAATTCATTCAATTCTTCAGACTGCCAAATTACTGCAGCATATAAGGCAGCATGCTCTCCGCCGCAGTTTCAAGTTATTTGCTTCTTCTTCTCATTGTATTTATTTGCACTAGCACAAGGTGGGCATAAACCTTGTCTTCAAGCTTTTGGAGCTGACCAGTTTGATGAGCAAAACCCAAAAGAATGTAAAGACAAAAGCTCCTTCTTCAACTGGTGGTGTTGTTTCTCGAATATAGGTGTTGTAGTGTCTCTCTATGTTTTGAACTACATTCAAGACAACCTAAGTTGGGGTCTTGGCTTTGGAATCCCATGCATTCTCATGTGCGTTGCCCTAATTATGTTTTTGCTTGGAACTACGACTTACCGATTTCGCACACAGAGTGAAGAAGCAAGCCCATTTTTGAGAATCAGTCGTGTGTTCCTAAATGCGGCTAGAAATTGGCGGACTACCCCGGCAGAAATATCTAAGGAAGAGGATGCTCTAGGTATTCTGCCTTATCAAGGTTCTAGACAGTTCAGGTAAGTCAACTACCATTTTATTTACTTATTCTGATATTTCAAAGGACAAAATGTCTCTTGACCTCGCTTTTATAAAGGTATGGCTTATTTGGTAAAAAATATTGTATAATTCTAAAAATTAAGAGCCTGTTTGGTAGAACTT